TATTATTGCTGTAATAACTGTAAGTAAATTGTAACATCTATATTGCTATCATTGCTGTAATTCTGCTATGCTGTAATCAGTATTTTAATTAAAATTACCAAAATAAAAAATTATCTTAGTATTTAGCAAATTGGCTATGAATAATTATAGCTATTTGTAACTGAACCCATCCCTAGATATGGACTAGTTTTAGAACTAAGAACCAAATAACAGTAAGACCAGTTAAAAAGATAGTTCCTTATTCAGTTTTTTTGAAACTGATCCATTCTTATTTATCAGGTTTTAGAGTTAGGTTCATAAATATTCATAGATAAATAGATTTTTAATTAGTATGTAAATATCACCATTTTTCTGATATATGAGAAATGTAATTATGTAATATTTGATGAATTTCTGAGTTCTCATGAATATCTGTGAATTCTCTGAATATTCATGAATTCTTTATGAATATTTATTTAAAATGTATATATTAATATTTATTCATGAATTACTATAATTCACGAATTTTTATTTAAAATTATATGTGCAATATGTACTTAATTTTGATCCTAAATTTTTTTTTGTCAGTAATTATTTTTATTAACAATCTATTTAGCTAACATTTTGTCAAGTGACAATTTACTAACAATAAAGTCTATATACAACTAATAATATGCTAAACTGTGATGTCAGCTTAATGAGCTATCAGTGAAGTAAGAAGAACTGTTTTTATATTGTTTATTGTAAATCTTTATAGAAAATTTATAAGATATAATAGGCAGCATCCACAATTTACGTTAAACTAGTACTATATTGTATAAAATAAGGATCTTGAAAGTAATGCTATATAGTATTGTGTTTGTTTTATTTTTAAGATCTTTATAATGATACTAGTTTGATGTAAATTGTATATGCCACAATACTAAATTTAGTTTCTTTTATTAAGTTCATTCAGGTAAAATTATATATATAGTTAAATCATAATAGTAATCTAGTCAGGTCCAGTTTTTCTTAAAAATTGTTACAAAATTTGAATATTTTGTATTATTAGTTCAAAAATTTTCTTATCAATCTATATTATTATATATAATACATATAGATTATAGGATAAATATAGAAAACTATAAAAGATTTGTATACATAATTCTTTCAAAATTATCAACCTGTCTGCAGGATAGTTTTAAATAATAGAACAATAGATATTAATAAATAGGTTAAATATTTTTAAAAAATATGTTTTTTAATTCAAAATTATCTTTATCTATGTCTTTACAACCAACTTTGTCTGGTTCTTCTAATGCCTTACCAACTGATATTACTTCTATTACTTGTTCAATATGTAAAAAAAAATTTAAATCAAAACGTAGTTTATCTTTGCATCATGCTATAATACAAAAATACAATAAAGGTAATCAATTAAAAACCTTACCAAAACATTCTATATTAGAATTTAAAGAAATATTAGTATGGTCAATTCATTGTAAACTTTCCTCTAATTTTAAAAAAATGAGAAAACAAATAATTTCACTACCTTGTACAGAAAATTAATTTTATACAGTTTTTAAAGGTCATATTCACTATTATTCAGAAAAAAAAAATATTACAAATGTATTTTTTCTGGACCATCAGCCTATACAACATTAGCAAAAATTTTTAATACAAAAAAATGGGGTTAAAAATTATATGTACAAAATCAGCAAACATACATTGTACTTAATAATTATAGTGAAAGTAATGAAATAGATTCTTTAATAGAATTAGCAAATCAAAACAAATCTATAAAAAAAAAAAAATCTAAATTTCAATGTGGAGAAATTTTGGTTGAATGGAAACAAAAAAAAATTAAAAAAGGTAATAGTATTTTTTGTGCAGGATTTATCTATATTAATTTTTTTATTTTACAAAAAAGAATGTAATTTCTATTTTATACAAATTTTTTTAGGTTT